TCCCAATATTACAATCGACAGGCTGAGTTCAAGGTGGTGCGTGGCAGATTAGAAATAGGAAGGCCCTATTTTGAGATGGGCTTCGTTCCAAGAGCTTTTCCAACTGAGGTTTTCAGAACTGAGCCTTTTTTCTCCCTAGAAACAATATTGGAAACTGTACTTAAGAACAGAGAGCAGTCAAGAGAGGTCACAAAAGCCCATCTACCCTACAGTAAGTCTGCAGTAACCCAGTGGTGGGCCTGAGAAGATGATGTCATTCACATACACTGATTAGAGAGAAAGCAGACATATTTTCTAAGCTTTTCATTTGCCTACTCTAGGCAAAACTAGATCTTGGTAGGAAGAAGCAGAAGTCAACTTTGTCCAAGTTGTTTATCTGAGCTGACCTACACTCTCCAATCTTCCTCTCCACAGGTACCCCGTGTGTCTGTAGTGCTCACTGCCTCCACCCTACTCAGATACTCTGCACCTTCATAGTACGCCATGCCTCTAAATTACCTATTTTCCCTAATCCCTAGATATGCATGTCTAAAATAGAGTCACTTATGAGTCACTTACGGAGTGACTCAGCCTACAGTAAAATTACTGACCCTCAAAGTAATAAACGTGTGTATGGTAGATAACACCTGCTGTGGCCAGACAGCCCTGAGACATGACTAAAAAGTAAAGCCAAAAGACAGTTGAGATAATGACTACAGCCACTCCTGCTGAAGACCACAAAAACCACAAAAAAAAACTAACCATGGCCAAAAAGGCCTAGAAAAACTCTACGCATAAAACTATAAGGCCTCTTTTGCATCAAACAATGACCACCAAAAGCTCTACTAAGAAAAAAACAGCAACCACCCCCCCACCCACTGTTGGTTGGGGTTCCAAGAAAAAACTAGATTAAAAAAAAGAAGAAGAAAAATCTCATAACAGTGAGGGTGGATTAAAAAAAAAAAAAAACAAAGAAAAAACAGACCTGTCAGTTCAGTCTGTGTATTAGTCTCCCAAACTATTCACTGTGGTTTATTCTCCCTTCTTATTACTAACTGTGTGTGTTAAATATATTTGCATAATTATTGGTGTATAACAATCTCACAATAGGTATAGGGGCTCACTCCTGTAACCCTAGTACTTTGGGAGACTGAGGCAGGAAGACTGCTTGATGCCAGAAGTTCAAGACCAGCTTAAGCAACGTAGCAAGACACCATCTCTACAAAAAATAAGAAAAATCAGCTGGATGTGGTGGTGCACACCTGTAGTCCCAGCTACTTAGGAGACTAAGCCTGGAGGATTGCTGAGGCCCAGGAGGTGAAGGTTGCAGTGAGCTATAATTGTACCAGTGCACTCCAGCCTGGGCTACAGAGCAAGCCTCGTCTTTGAAAGAGAAAAAAAAAAATCTAACAATGAACCATAATTTCATAAATATTTAATTAACCATCAAGTCATTATAAAACCTCCTAGCCCTCTGGTCAAACAACACAAATAGACTAATTTAAACCTAACATGAGACCCTCAAAATCTCAAAGCCTTTGGCTGCATCACTTAATGTCCCTATGACTTTCAGAAATTTTAATAGCCCAAGCCTTTGCCTATAAAATGGGGATGATATAGCCCCAATAGGGTTAATCTGAAAATTAAGTGGAAAAAAAAGTGTATATAATATGCCTAACACTGTACCTGACAATCCACAGGTTCAAAATTCCATAACAGCTTTTTAATTCTTTGAGTAAAAGAACCAAGAACTTTGTACTTTAAAAACTGTATAAATGTATAATCTATTATATTAAATGGTTATTAGATATGAATTAAAATTTTAAATGTTTAAAATATAGCCAATTCTTGTATCTCCAGAAAATTCCTAAAAAGAACACTTTTTCCTAACACCTGCATACATAATGCATCTGTTCTTACTCCCATCCTACCCTAGATCCCCTCACTGGTTAAATAGGCTCACCATTCAAACCTGTCTCAACCCTCATCCAAAAAACATACAATTATAAAGATGACTATATTTCCCCCAAATAAATTACCATTTAAAATTTAAAATGCCGAGGTGTATTTTACCCAATGTTTTAAATAACCTAAATCACATTGTCCTATTTTTTTCAAAAAAGTTTTATTAACTGTCACTTCAGATATTTCATCTACCAGTAATAATGAGTAATAGAAAAGGCCATCCTGAAAAGTATCCCATTTGAATTTTTGTAAGTCAGTAAATAATTACAAAGACTAAAAATAATGGTGAAAATGACACCAAGGTTAAATGCCCATTTCTACCCTCTGCTTTCAGGCTCAAGAATCCTAGAACTAATTTGAAATTGTGAAATTGGAGTCTGTCCCCAGCCAGAGTAGCAGACTTAATGCACCATTAATCTGTTCTGCTATCAGCCGCCCATTCAAATAGTCACAGCCATTCGATTTTTAAGGAAAAGACAGTGCTGCAAAAGTACATTCCAGAGGTCTTTTCATAAAACCATCCTGTGTGCTCCATCTGCATGTGCAATCTGCTTGTGTATTTTCAGCCAGCTTGCATGGGCAGATTAATGCGTACAATTAGAAAGCAACCTCACAGGCATTCGATAAACTGCCTTCATTATTACACTCAGGAGAGTCCCTTTGGATGTCAATAAAAGCCTAGTTTTCTGCCTGTTAGCTAAATAATTGACAACACTAAAACTAATCAGAAGCGAATGAACGAAGTCAGGAACAAGGTGCTAAGAAAGAGCACGTTAAGATTCTCCTGGGGGTGTCCCAGGTTGCTATCACGAGCTGTTTCTCCAGCCACTTGGATTTACAGTCTGCTCAAGTCCATGGCTGCCTTTCTCTACGGAAAAAAAAAACCAAAACCATCGTTCCTGATCTGCTATTTGAACCAAAAACCACAGTACCCTGAAACTAGCAAGGTATTGACTAGTTTGAAAGAATTTCTTATGTATGTTTCTATTTTGTGTCCCTTCCTTTGAGATCTTCGGGAGAATCTAATTTGGGAGGTGGGGGGTAGGCAGTCTGGTTGATCTGGTGAAATCTTTGTACTGTTAAAATTCTAACAGTTTCCCTAGACATTTTTTCCACCATAAAGTCAGCCTAAGAAAGTGTTATAAACACTTGTTATATAGAGATCTGTCTTTTCTAAGAAGTCCCTTTCATATTTCTAGCTATATAATGGTCATTCATTTCATGAGCTATTGGTCTTTTAATTTCAAAAGTAATTTATACAATACTCTTTTTTAAAAAACAGAATCTCACACATATATCTCTTCATGTGTTTCTCAATAGGCTTTAAAAGCCAATTTGATCTTTAGCCAACTTCTCTTTTTCCTGGTTAACTGGGACTTTCACGATAAGCAGAAGAAAGAGAGTGAAATGTGCATGTAATTGAATTCAACTTCACCGACAGTGCGCCTGGTGGCTGAGGACGAATCGTTCTTTTTTTTCTTCTCTACAGAAAAGGGGTGATTGATCTTTTGTATTTAGTAAAACATAAACTCAAGAAGCTGGAAGACGATGGTGGGAAGATTGGGCAGCACAACTTCTCATCTTTCAAAACTCCAAGAATCTCTCATCCTTCACCTTGCCAGGTTTAGAACTTTCCAGGGTGTTTAGCTTCCCACCAGCTTCCTCACCTCCGTGGCTGTTTTAGAGTGGGAGAAGAGTGGAGAGAGACAGGCTATGGATTCTGTGACTAAAATGAGAAGGATGCTTGTTTTAGTTATGAAAGATGACATCACTCATCAACACATCCATCCTACCCCAGCCCATCTTCTGGCCTGGGTAGCAGAGGCCAGGTACCTTTACTTAAGAGCAATGTAGAGGGTTGAGAAACTTCTTTTCCATTTCTGTTTCTGAGTCTTAAATCAAAAAGGAGCTGCTTATTATAGAGGAAGGGTAATTTCAGTGGTATGAGAAACCAGAGGATTCTGTGCTTAGAGGAGGGATATGCTCCAGGGTGTGATATACATGCTTATCCACACATCTGAGTGATCTTAAATTCTGCAAGTGAGAGACAACATGGGGAGAGAGAACAGGAGGCAGTCGGTGAACATCCTATACTAGCTGTGATGGGAACAGAAATCTGTATACAGTCTCTAAAAAAGTTGTACGACCCCATTCAACTAAGACCTCTGCAAAAAGTATCATTTCAACTCTTCATCTCATTTACACAAGATATTTTCTTTAATTCTTACAAATGTTCTGTGAGATAGACATTATCGTCCCAAGTTTAAAAATTAAAAATAATACTCATACTCAAACAGGTGTTCTAGAGAGCTAAGGCTTTGAACATAGATCTGCTTGCTCTAATTCTACCACACTTAGAATTAATGTAGGGCCAGAAATATTTTGCTTTGGTTTTGTCTGCTTTCATTCAGCGTGCAGGTAATCTAGCTACCAAGAGCTAGGACACGAGTTTATCTTTAAAGCCTATCTAACAGTAGATTATCTATACTACAAAGCACATAGTAGTTGTCACACACATATTAGCTGCTGTTATTCACAGATCACACTGGAAAAATTACCTAGGTGTGTGTATGACCACCAATTAGGAATTTTGCCAATAACTGCTAAATGATTTCTCAATTCTTGTCTAGAAAAAAAAAAAAAACACAAGCGTATAATAGTCCTCCGTCCACTAGATAAATCCCTAATTAGTTTAGATTCTGCTTGGGTGCTTCATTTCAAGCATCTTCCTCTTCATATTGGCGTCTTGGAAGTCAACATAATCAGAAGTACCTTGATCATCAAAGAATCAAGCCCTCCAAGTTGTTTATAGTGGGGAATTCCTCAAACTTAGCAGTATTATTGCTAATCGATTGACTACTAAAGAATCCTTTGGTGAGTATAGATATCTCCAACCTTAGATTTTCACTTATATAATAACAGAGTTCAGTTACATAATTACTATAACAACCAATAATCCAATACCAGATGTTTTGAAAAGTTACCGTCACCCGAATTTAAAAGCTATATGAACAATATGCCTATAAAGAGACAAAGTTCTGAAAATATAAACTTACTGTTGCTGATGCTCTCTAAATGTTTCTCTTCTGAGGTTTTCTTCATTTCTTCTTTTCTCCTCCAGTTTATTGCTCTGAAATTGCAAATATCAAAATGTCACCTGTTGGCTGGCTGCAGTGGCTCATACCTGTAATCCCAGAACTTTGGGAGGCTGAGGTGAAAGGATCGCTTGAGGCCAGGAGTTGAAGACCAGCCTGGGCAATATAGCAAGACCCTGTCTCAATTATTATTTAAATATAAGTAAAAATGTCACCTATTGTATTAGGGAAGCTTTATGTGAATCATGACGTTCAAATTACCCAAAGTCCAAAATCCTGAGGTTCAGTAGTCTAATATGATACCTTGCCAGAGGTTCTAAGATGGTATTCCCTCTCAGTCCCCAAGGGCGACGCCCAGAAAGCCAGGAGCCCACAGTTCTTTCTGTAGCTCCCCTCTCCCAATGTGATTGATATAATCACAGATTCGGCATTTCGTATTTTTATTCTCTAGTTCAAATGATAGCAACATTTATTTTTTAAGCAGTACTTTCAAAATGTTTTACTGAAAACATGAAATTTCCATACCAAGTATGTTAAATTAAAATTATAATAAATGGTTAAATAGTTCATGCAAAATTTATATATGTGTATACCCACATTCCACTAAAGCTTTCAGGAAAAGAATTACAATAAGCCAACCCAACTCCCTTCTGATTTAGAATCAGATACTTAAAGCTGTTGAGGGACTGAACCGCACATGTCACAAAAAGCCATCCACTTGAATAGAAAAGAGGTCTTTTTTTTTTTTAATTAGCTGTTTGGAGAGCCTAGAGATAAAGAGCTTCATATTTGATATTACTGTCACCCATGGCTCTGGCATATTTTAAGCCAATTTAAATAACCCAGGAACACTTGCTTCTTGCTCCCCATGACACGCTGTCATTTTTTAACTTGCCTCTGAAAAACAAGTAAAATTTCTAGACAACAAATTTAATGGGGAGTTAAAAACAAGTTCTACAACACAGGAGAAATGTGAAGTTTTAAATGAATCCAAGAGAGACTGCAAGCAGCTGGGTTTGCTTTAATAAAAAATTGGATTTACCCAGAGGACGACCTGTGAAAAGGGAATAATAGAAATCATCACTTTCAAACCCAAACCATAAGTTTGGCTCCATCTTTCAAAGAGGGGAGAAAAAAAACTCTTCATATTGTTCATTCCCATGAAAGTCTTCATTCACCCAGAACTAATTGCGAGTCCCATTTTGAAAGGCAAAATGGATGGTGATTTCACTTTCAGAGAAAACTAAAGGCAATTTACTAGCATCAAAGAGAATCAATGATAATGCAAGCCACTGGATTATTAATGAAACACAAAATTCTAGGAAGCAAACTAATGAAAACTGCGAAACCAAATGAACATGATGCTAATCTAGGAAAAAAATCCTGACTCATGAGACCAAAAGTGCTCAGTTGTGATGAGTTCCCTGCATCCCAGGGGTGGGGTGTTGAGAGGCGGAGGTCAAAAGATAACAAGCAAGGAGGAGGTCTTGATTAAAGGTCAGAAATTGAGAACACTGGTTTTCTTCTTTCCACTAATAGATTCCAACTCAGTCACATTGTAGCTAAATTTTATTAAACAAAAGTCTGTTTATGCCTCAGCAGAAGTGATGGAGAAGTATTCTGCAAAATACTGGAGTAGTTGAGAAATTTGTATTCCAAACCTAACAACATAGGTACCCGTTTTAGTATGGTAATCCAAATACTTAGATTTAGTCAGACAGTTTATTTCTATTTAACAGTGAGTTCAGGCATCACCCACACATACTTACACGTAAGTATATATACAGAATGTAAAATATCTTTGAACATGAGATACAGAAGAAGAAACTATGAAATTAGCTCCAAGTCCATCGTTACTGATTGAATGACCTTAAACAAATCATTTAATATTGCTGAATCTCACTTATTCAACAAATACTTATCAAATACCTATTTTATTCTTGGTACTATGTTAGATGCTGGGACTACTGCTATGAGCAGAGCAGTGCCTATCTGAAAAATTTCAGGGTCTAGCCGGGGACATAGACAAGGAAGTAATGATGTCAGTATGTTAAATATGTCAGGGGACAGCAGTTTGCAAATAATGTAATATGAACACGGACAAAGCACAGAAATGGACTGTCAGGAAACGTTCTCAAAAGTTCCATAAACATTTATTCAGTACCTATAAAGAATCAGACTCCATCCTGGGCACAAGAGCCAAAAAGCGACTCAAAACATGGGGGATGTGGGTTCTAACCTAGGGTGCATGGATAAGCTGCTGGTTAGGTGTATGTTCCTTTCTATGCAGAGCAGACTCATAGCTTTCTACATATTCCCCAGGGGGCTGATGACCAAATCAAAGGTAAAATCCGTGGATCAAATGAGAAAGAGAAATTCTAGATAAAGACCAATCTTAAACAAGCAAGAGTTTTTCAGGAGGAGGAGGAGGAGGTGAGGGGCAGGGCTATTCCACACTCCATTACATGGGCTGCTCATTGCCCAGGGGTTCTCAGCAGAGGGGGTCGGAAAGGCTGAAATATCAAGCTGTGCACCTCAGCATGTGGCTACGTTAGCACAGAGGAGGTGTCTTTTTCTATTTCTCACGAAAGTACCACCTGTCACCTGTATGAACACCCACAGAATTGACTGCCTGGATGGAGAATTGGTTTCTAATTTTCAAAAAGGCAATGATGGGCTAGTAGTGACCCTGGATAGGAAAAGGGAAGTCCCAGAATTTACAATCTTTTCAATATACAAAGGCATAGAGAACCTCAAGAAGCTCATAGGAAAAGTGAACGGTGTTTGGAGAGAGATGGGTAGAAGATAAGGCTGAGAAAGTAAGAAGGTACAATTATAAAGAATTTGTATGCCAAGTAGAGAAGTTTGGACTCTATGAAGGACAATGATAAGCCATGATGTGATTGTAAGCAGGACAGTAAGCAGCTCCTCTGACGGCAACACACAGGATAAGCAGCTGCAAGGGCCCCAGATTCGCGAACCCGTGAGGTGGTTCTCACAGTAATCCAGGCCATAAATTATGAAAGTCCCAAATTAAGGCAGCAGGGATGGAGAAAAATAGCCTCTAAAAAAATGTAGGGGACAGAAATGATAGGTGGTATAACTACACGGATATAGGATGAGTAAGAAAAGGAGGAAGGGTGTAAGATGACTATCATTTAAGTGCCCCAGTATGAACATATGAGTTCAATTTTGAATTTATTGGATTTGACGTCTACTTGTGGAAAGTCTAGGGAGAAATATCAAGCATTCAATAAAATATATGGTTCTGTGATTTAGAAATATGGTCTGGCCTGAAGATGGGGATTTCAGAAATCATCAGTACAAGCAATAATTAAATCTTTAAATGTGGGAGTTTTCACCTAAAGATGGGGGCATAGGCACAGAGACCGATGGATGGGACCTGGTGAGCACCAATAGTGGAAAAACAAGTGGAAGAAAAGGACCCAGAGCAGTAGAATTTAAAGGACAGAGGACTTGATATTACAAAGAGCTTAAATAAGCTAGGAATTGAAGTCTCCACTGGATATTTCAGTTAAGAACACCACTGGTGATCTTAGCTAGATCAGAACCATGGAAGTACTAGAGATAAAAGCCACACTCAGCCCACCAACGAACGAGTTAAGGAGAGGAATCAGAGAAGGTAAGTTCCTAAGCTAACTGAGCTCAGCATTACCTGGGGAACCTTTTTTAAAAATCGAGAGTCTTTGGTTCAGGTGATTGTTAAAGAGTCAGGGCACAGTCTGACATTTGGGAACAAATATGGTAGAGAAGTCTTTCAAGAAGATGAACTGTGATGCTCGGGGATAGAGGAGTTGAAAGCAAAACACAACAGAGAAAATTTGCTTTTAAGATGAGAGACTTGAGTATAATTATATCCTGAGAGAGAAAAACAAAAACACAAAGACAAGAAAGTAACAGGAGGAAAAGGAGCTTAACCGATGGAGAAGCCAAGGTCCCTGAGGAAAGGGGAGGGAAGATGAGATGGTGGACACAGGTGGAAGAATCCGTCTTAGCAACAAGGGGAGGCACCTTCTAATTCCTCCTGCGATGGAATGGGAGCATCAACAACAGGACACTAAAGAAATAGAAAAATGGAGATAATTGAGGTCTGATGGCCTTTATTTCCTATGAAGTTTCGTGCTGAAACACGAAAGATAAGAAGAATGTGAAAGATAAGAAGAATGTAGGCCGGGTGCGGTGGCTCACGCCTGTAATCCTAGCACTCTGGGAGGCCGAGGCGGGTGGATCGCTCAAGGTCAGGAGTTCGAGACCAGCCTGAGCAAGAGCAAAACCCCATCTCTACTAAAAAATAGAAAGAAATGATCTGGACAACTAAAAATATATATATAGAAAAAATTAGCCGGACATGGTGGCACATGCCTGTAGTCCCAGCTACTCGGAAGGCTGAGGCACTAGGATTGCTTGAGCCCAGGAGTTTGAGGTTGCTGTGAGCTAGGATGACGCCACGGCACTCACTTTAGCCCAGGCGACAAAGCGAGACTCTGTCTCAAAAAATAAATAAATAAATAAATAAGAAGAAGAATGTAAAGTGAGCAAAGATCTTGGTAATTGGGGCTGGGCCTAGAATGCAAAGGAAAAATGCTGGCCATCGGGCACTGTAGGAGACCCAGCTGAGATGAAAGCCCAGAAACATGGGGTGGCAAAAAAAAAAAAAAAAGTGTGTTTTTTCTCCAGCAGTCTCATAATCTCATTCATGTGGGTTTGGGAACAATGAAATAATTGAACCCATCCAACCGTGTATAATAATAATACTATTCTCTATGCCTTCCTTACAAGAGGTTAATACAGTAGAGCTCAATGAGATAATGTCAAAGCACTTCTTTACATTTAAAATCAGGTTAGGACACCTTTACTGAGTGCTTACTAAGTGCTAGGTATTGTACTAAGGTCCTACCAGTCCCATTATTATATTATTATTATACCCATTTTACAAATAAGGAAAGTGAAACACAGAAGACAGCCTCCACTCTTAGCACCACATCTGCATTTCAGAGATATCAACATTCCAACATTATGGGACTGATTAGTGAAATCCTATTGCATTTCAACAACCAAAGGCTTAAGGCCCCCACCATTCATCCACAAAGAAATGCATGATATAGGAACCACGTTTCTTGGAAACTCTGCTGTCCCTTGAAAGTTTTCAGAAATTGAAATGTTTCCCAGTTTATACAAACAATATTGAAGTAATTTCCTCAATGTTGAGTTTTATCCCTAAAGTTATTTTTAAACCATTAGCCCTTGCTACTACTTGCTTCCTAGAAATAAGAAAGCAATAAAGTGTGATTCCTTAAGCATATGTATACATACAAATCCTGCAATATGCATAACTTATTTTCTACTGGTTAGTTCCTATTTCACATTATAGCATTAAAACTAATGACACTTCTCAATGTCTGCATAAAATACTGTGACTTCCAGTGCTCCAAATGACTTTGGCAACCATAGTTTAGTGGAAAAAGCAAAAAAAGGTGTTGGATGCCACTCAGATCTCTAGCTGGTTTCCTTCATTCTCTGAGGTTATGATACCCCAAGAGGTTGGGAGAATTAAATGGAAGTATTTGGGAATTATATAGCGCTGTATAATGTTACTTCAAACATATGTAGATCAAAGGCAGAATAAAATGAATCCAGGAGGTAGGGAGGGTCTTTAACAAAAAGAAGATTTTCATTTTTTAGCCCATTTTGTGGGCATTATGAAAAGTCTAGAAAAGTCAAATTATGACTTAGTTCATCAATGTGATTATGAGGGAAAAGTGTGGTGGAGGTTTACTCCCACAGCACTAAATTTAAACAAAAGGCTTTCTCTGAGGTGTTAGGAAAACCTGTCTCCTCATGCTTCACGAACCAGTGACAAAGAAAGCACTTGCCTCTAAAACACTGCCTTTTTTTTAAAGACTTTCTTTTATTCTAATGCTCTAATATCTTAGAGATATTATCTGTGCTTTACAGATTTCTAGGAAGAGAAATTAATACGTTGTTATAAAACCATGAGTAGTATTAGTTTCTTATAGCTGCTGTAACAAATTACCACAAACTCAGCATCTTAAAACACAAATTCATTCTCTTACAGCCCTGGAGGTCAGAAGTCCAGGATGGGTCTCACTGGACCCACTTGCAAGGTGTCAGCAGGGCTGCATTCCCTGCGGAGTCTCCAGGGGAAAATCCACTTCCTTGCCTTTTCCAGCTTCCAGAGGCCTCCCACATTTCTTGGCTAATAGACCCTTTCTCCATCTTCAAAGCCAGCCCAGTACGCTGAATATTTCTCCTGCTGTCATCTCTTCTTTCTCTCTCTTTTGCCTCCCTCTTCCAATTTTAAAGACCTGTGTGCTTATATTGGGCCCGCCTGGACATTGCAGTTTACTCTCCCTATTTTCAGGTCAGCTGATTAGCAACCTTAATTCCATCTGTAAACTTAATCCCCCTTAATCTCCTTTTCCATGTAAAATAACATAATCCTAGGGATTAGAATGTGGACATCTTGGGGGAGTTGGGTAGGGAGAGGCATTATTCTGTCTACCACATGCATTATAATCTATTTTTAAATCAATACATATCAAACATACAATATATCAGATATTTCCCAAAATCTTTGCTCTCCTTAGCCTTCTGAGGCTTGGCTTTGGAATGTAGGTGGTAGGGGCGGGTAAGAGAACAATTTTTTCATTTAGTGCTAAGCAGTGCTGTGCTGGTAAACCTTTAACAGCCAACTCTGGCAGGGAGGAGGAGGGAAGGTTGATTTCTACATTTACCAATCTCCGTGGTGTAAATATTTCCACCACAGTCGGTTTCAAGCTGCCAACATGAAGTCAAATAGCTCAAAAAATCCTGAAAATTTAACAATCCCTTATCACGAGCCAGTACAAAGGAGGAGTATACCACTGGAAGCATATATACCCCATCAACATACTCTAGTCTAGGGGATGCAAGTTTGACTAAAGCATCCCAGTGCCCTCTCCAAATTTCCTGCTTCACTCATAGGAAAAATTCTTTCTGGACCCAACTGACATGCTAAAGAGCTGACTGACTCTCACACCTTCTTGTTTATTAAGGATCAAAGAACACACAAAAATGCTGGTGAGGAATCCAGTCTACTCAGCCTTCACTAAATGTTACACACACAGATGATGACCAATCACAAAGAGACTCAGTGTCCCCTGGTGACTTCTTCTGGGAGAGGAAAAATGGAAGTGCAGTGGGGAAGGGGGCTGGATCAAGACCAGAGATAAAGCTAGAGGCTCTTGGGTGGCAACAGGCTGCTGGATTCTACGTGGCTCAGTGTTTCTGGGAAGCAGCAATTTGCCTGGGGAGAAGGGCCATGTTTTGCAGGCTGATGTCTGTGTGTGTGTTTGCCGTGCACTTTAAAAAATAAGTGCTCCATAAGCACAGTCATTATCATTTCCCTTCGCCATGTTCACACTGGCAATGTGAAATATGTCACTTCTAGACGGCTAATGTCCATTTTTTCTTTCATCTGACATAAGCTACTAAATAGGCTCACATTTAATATGAACGGCCACAGAATTATATACAACAGGAAGGGCTAGGGTCATGGTGCCAGCGCAGGCCAATCAGCCAGAGAAATCAAGTCTGTGGAAGGACCAGGATGGGTCCTGCTTCTTTTGTAAGGTCATTTAAATTAATGCTCCTTAAATTTTATGTGTACAGCAATCACCTGGGGAGCTTGTTAAAATGCAGATTGTGATTCGGTGGGTCTGAGGTGGGGCTCAAGATTCTGCACGTCTAACAAACTCCCAGATGAGGCCAATGCTGCTTGTTCAAGGGCCACATTTTCAATGGGAAGGGGCTACAGATCAACTCACTCTCCCCACCTCTCACTTTCCAGCAAATTTATGCCAGTAAGTGCTACAGTTATCATGCTAGGAAAGGGGAAAATACTGCTTTTATTCAATGTTAAAGAAAACAGTTCTAGCCATTAACGTTTATGAATAGTATACATTATTGACCCACGAAGAAATAAGCTAACAATGACCCACAAGCCAGCCAATTATAGGTATTAAATGACAACTAATAAATGAGTTTAGGATAAGAGATTGTAACACAATAATTCTTCAAGGTCTGCAAGCCTCTTAATTCAGTTCCTGGTGATGACTTGATGGTGTTCTTTGTTCTGCCTGAAATGCAGACAGACTGTGTTCGTAAGGGAGCACCTCCGCGGCTATCACAAGACCTAAGTGTGAACCTTCCTTTGAAGAAGAAAATGGGAGAGGAGAAAAAGAGATGAAGAAAAGGGTGGGGAATAGAGAAGTGCAAAGAGAAAGACAGGTAAATTTTATTATAATAAAAATCTTCTCAATGAAGGTGTAATCACTGATCACTTAGAAATGGACTGCCGAATCAAATTTTGTAAACAAAGTTCCTATACTCATTTTTTAATACCTCCAGCATTCTATTACAGTTCCTCATTTGCAAGTCCAGTCTTATCTCCACCCCCAGAGCCTGTATCTCTACAGCAACAGGATGCTCTTGAACTTGGGACAAGAGGTGGTGCTTACAGACTCATTTTACAGAAATAGTTCAGAGAAGGTTGGAGGGCTACCCAAGGTCACACAGCACAACAGACATTTTCCAAGAAAGACTAGTTTGCTTCCAGCCAGGAAAAGATCTCCTCCTCATGGGAGGGAAAGACTAATTCTCTCACGTGCTCCATAAGCCATCAGATTTTGGCTTCATTAACTCGAACTGATTAAAACATTGATTGTTTGGGAAAAGGCTCAAATTTTTGACCAACACTTAATCTTTAAAATAAAAAGGAAAGGAAGGGAAGGAGGAAGGGAAAGAAAGAAAAGCAAACAGTAGGGAAAGGAAGTGTGTTTCCTTGACTTATACCTGCAGCAGGTATCAAACATGGGGGTTTCACAAGTCAACCCCTGGCCCCTAAACCTCCAACACTTAAAATCTATTATAGCTTAGGAGTTTGCGGAGATTAGGAGTAGAAGGAAGGGGGTAGGAATGGAACAATACTACATTCTTTCTTCTCCTCTAGCAGATGAGCATTTTTAAGAGATTTTTCCCCCCAAGCCCCAGAAAGAGTGTCAAGACTGAACATCACTCTGAGGTTTAGAATAGGCCATATCATACCACGTAAGAGAGGCATGTTTACCTACATCACACTCAATCTGGAAAATTCAGTGTCTGGATATAAGTATGGCAGTATACCACTGATGGCTGTCGTTCCTAGTTGCTTTGCCTCCTGGACTGAAAATTCACCACTTTGATCGCTTGCCTGAGAGGTGAGGCAGCGTTATGAATAAGAAGCATAGCTCTGGGGCTAGTCTGTCTGGACGTGAATCTTAGTTCTTCTACTTACTGATCATGGGCCCTTGGGCAAGTTATCGGCCCTCCTTTGCAAAACTGGGTAATAAGGATAATACATACTGCATAGGGTCACTGTGAGGATCAAATGAGTTGGTGTGTGATCAGTGTCTAGAAGAAAACCCGGCACAGAGCCACCTGCTCACCTTCTCTCTCTGAATTGCCTTCATTTTTTGGAGTTTGGCTTCTTCAGCTTCCTTCTTGATTCTTATAGATTCTTCTCTTTTTATCTAAATTGTATTGAGATTACAGAGGACAAAAAAACAGTTACCATTTTTCAGCCTGAACCTCTAGAACACAAAATTATGATGAAAGGCAAATTACAGTATTGTCTGTGCTATACCTCACCATGATTATAGGTTGTTACTTCAAGCTACTTAGATCACAGAGAATGGACAGACAACGCCTCCTGCCCGTGAAATTTCTCTTTGTGTTTCTTACTTGGTCTGTCTCTTTCTCAACTACTGTGTATCTATCTCTCTGCCCCCTTCTTTCTCTCTCTCTCTCTCTCTCTCTCTCTCTCTCTCTGTCTCTCTCTCTCTCTCTGTGTGTTAGGGAAGGAAAGGGGAAGATAATTTTCCTGATTATAAAACTCATAGTGTTCATTGTAAAAAATCATTGGGTATCTTCAACCTTTTTTGTACTACTTCCACAACTGGCCTGGGGAAAACAAATCCACTTCTTGGAACCACAACATTCCAAACATAGTAGATTTAAACTACAGTTAAAACACAATTAACTTAAACTAGAAAAAAAAAAATTCCCTTAGTTGAGGACCATGCTGACTGATAGATGACTTGAATAAGAAGTCTAGGTTTTTATCTCTAAACATCTCGCTTTCCAATATCTTTGATTTTGAGAGGTGCTTTCTGCAATTGGTTTCAACGTTTTATGCTTTTAGTAAAGTTACTGTGTTATTTCATGGTTACCTGAAAGAGCCGGTACTCAAATTCCTTGCCAAAATTAAACTAACGGAGATGGATTCTGACCTTTTGCTGGTATTTAGATTGCATCAGTTGGAGTTGTTGTTTCTGCCTGACTTCAGCCTCTGATTGGCTTCCACCTAAGGAAAAAAAAGCCACGAAGGTGAAACACGAATACTAAGCTGAAATGTCAGCTATCGAGGACTAATTAATACATGATAAGTCTACAACGTGAGTTTCTTTAACATTTTAATACCCCTGGAAATAAGAACATAAGCAGTTTTTTAATAAGACCTTAACAAATGGGACTCACTTAAAAGAAAAACGGCTGGACAGAAAGATGAGGCTGTGTTCCTAAAAGGACAAGTCTCCTAAGCTTTTTCAACCACGTAGGTATTAAAGTTTTCACTTAGATTGAAATCATACCTGAAGGGCCATGCAAAGCAGTACGAAATAGTGCCTGTCTTGGAAATTCTAGAACATTCTTCCAGCTTGAGTATGACCATGCCTTACCCTAATAAGGATGATGACCAGTGATGCTTCAGTTGGTTTTCTTCTAACTCTATTGCCCTATGTTCAAGCAGCAACATAGGGGTCTTGCCACTAGACAAGTATGTAGTCTTTATAACCCAGTTTCTAAAAATACAATGAGAATATTCTAGTTAGTAACTGATTATCAATCCAAACTATTTTTCTGAAGGTATTCAAGAGAAACTATGAATGTCAGATTATTTGCCTGTTATCTCTCAAACCTAAAATAATTTGGGGCCAGAAATCCCTGCAGCCTGACAGTCATCTAAGAATTGCCGTTTAGGGATTGCTCAGTGTTTATGCAAGCTTGGTGTGTGCATTATAAAGGGTCCTCTGAAATAATTCTCTGGCGCTTTGGTCACTAAAAGTGTCAGTTCTCTGAAAGATTCACTCTCACAGAAGATGCATTAAAACAATTTGTGTTCACTGTAGTTTTTATAATTGAACTGAGAAAGACACCAAAGGGACTTCTCTTCTGAGCTCCTAAAGGTATAAAAGGTTTCGTTTTGGTTCTTTAGTTGCTATTGTGGGGGATGGGGGAGTGTTTCTTTTGAAACACTTAGGAATACTTAAGCTTTTATCTAATGTTACAGCCACTTTTAGAATCTTTTACAATCATTCCAATATTTTAAGGGGTAGAAAAATAGGAGTTAAGAATTAGAAGAAATAGAGACAGCCAGATGTCTAAGCATTTGCAGGTTTTGCTCAAAACTCATCTCAAAGTTTAACACATTCTAGAATTTTCTTTTCTACCCCCCAGTCCTCCCACACACACATACTTGACCATTCCTAGATACTTCATGTAACAGAAAGTTGAAATGAGAATCCTGCTCATTTTTTGCTAAGGCCCAAGACGGTAGAAACCAACTGCTCTGAATTCCAATGGGAGGTGTCTGCAGCTCCCAAAGCAGGAGCTGCAAGAAGTTACTGAAAACTAGTTTGGGGAACCTTAAATAGCAACTACTTTCAGCCTATAAAAGACATTGGATAGGTCAAAGGAAGGCAGAAATCTGAGGAAGGATGTCTCTTTGAATTCCATCTCCTCTGTTTTTGTGATTGAAGAAGATGGAATCTTCAAGATGTTCAAGAAAGGTTTAATGAAAATTGCTTGAAGACTTCAACCTGCATCCCTAAGAGAATGAGGGTCCTAGTGGAACCCCGACTAGAAAAGTTAAAGCCTAAAGGCACAAGGCTATTATCAGCTGACTACTCAAATGAGTCCTCAAGAAGAGGGAGCTGCATTGCAAACGGCCTGTATTCACAGAGTTTGTGAGAAGAAATGATGCACAAGTATTTCCTGTACTTCCAATGTGGATCTCATGAAAAAGAATGCCAATCTAAAGCCATCTTGAAGGGACTCACCCATGAGGGCCACCTTGAGAACAGTGGAGCCCTACAAAGAGTTGACCAAGAGCCAACAGTGAAGGCAAGCACTGCCAGCTGGAAAGGATATTATCTCCATCAGGGAAATCCAGGTGAGAGATGGGTGACAGGAAGGGAGGGCCGCAGAAGAACTCAAAGAACCCCGGGAGGGAGAATGAGCAGTCAGCATACACCTAGGCTCAAAGAAACCAGGATCATTGCTCCATAGACCCCTGACCTCTCATCTGCTCTTCCACCTTTGACCCTGCAAGGGGCAGAATCTGGGAACAGAGGGATCAACAGAGAAAAATCCAGCCATGCCCTGTATCACTTGTTAGCTTCCTACATGAAACAGGCCTGGGCTGGGGTAGGGGAGAAGCTTTAATCTCCATTAGTAATAGTATTGACCTGTACCTAGGACTGAATACTAATTACTGAAACAAGACTGTTTTAGGCCTAGAATTAGCTGGGTAACTCTATTGTTTGAGAAAGACCAAAAAGATTTAATTTCTCTCTTCACCCAAACAGCACAGGAAAGACTAGACCCACACAGCTGGTTTGAGAGGCCAGTTAGGAAGGACTAAGGCTGTTTTCTGACTTTGCCTCTCAAGTCTGGCTTATTCAGCATAAAGGTGACACGAGATTAACCCTTTTCAGGGAATACAGTGGGATGATGGTGATAATACTACTACTTCCCCTCATGAAATCATTTCCGAAGTAGCTTATTTTTACCTATATCCTGGGGGGTGGGGGAATACTTCTCTAAAACTATCGCAACAATAAGTGGCCCCTGACTCTAGACATGTTTGTATTAACCAAATCTGTGGAAACTCATATGTGGTTAATACAAACTGTGTCCAGCCCTTTAAGTTCTCAGCTGCTGCTGGAAGAGAAAAGAGAAGAAAAGATGTGAATGATTCCCATTAGGTGGCATCCCCCTCTGAATGGTTCAAACACCGGCAAAGGCGGCCCAGATAATTCATCACACTGGCAGCACCCGCTCCCGAGGCCCAGAGGTCTCTATCTGCAAAATGAAAACACAGGTGACATTTCTCTTTATAACCACCACTGGGTCCCCAACTCACTCTTGTCTTGCTTTTGGAATTGACTTTCCATTCCTTTTGTTCGCATTAACATTTAACTGCCCTGATTAATATGCTTGTGCTAAGCTTTCGCTCCCATTCTGACTAGCACTGTGGCCGGGCATGTGTAAAGCACCCCAGGCAAGCTCTCTTCAGAGTTGATCATCTAAGAGGCTCTACGTTATCTGGCAATTAAACCATCACTTTATTTCCACATAACCATGGCATCATTTGTTTGCTGCTTGCAGGAAATCAGAAAAAAACAATATACCTGCATTAAATGCATTTCATCCCAAGCAACTCAACAACCAAACAACCTATAATGTACATTCAAAGACAGACATGCACAAAGGGCTAGCAGGCAAGCGGTGTGCTTGCTTACCTAGCCGCCTGGGCACCAGGTACACTGGTTTAGCTCTGTGCTGTTCCTTCAACTTCTCCAGGTTAGCCAGCTCCTGCGCAGCAACTAAGCCAGGTGAGAAATATCAAGTCATCAGTTATTAGCATTCGAAAAGGTAACTGGTCCCTGCAAAGCATAACAACCATCAGAAGGCATTTAAATTCCTGTGAGCATAAGCAAACAAGATGTCCAGGAATGGAAGACACTATCCAAGCCCTGACCCCTCAGGGTCATCCCGGGTCCATCCCTGTAGCACTCTCTCTCCAAGAGTCAGCACAGAGGGTTCAAATTTTAAAACAACCTGAACTTGCATTAAAACAAAGACGTGTAGTTTTTCCTCCCATTCTAGCATTCTTAAAACCCTATACCGCGTTAATTTTAAAGGCTTCCTGTAGAAAATTTGTGCAAAACTAGAATATTCATATATCAATAAGAATTATCCACAGTCAGGTAAAAATATATCCCCAGAGAATTCTGATGCCTATATTCACGTTATTTTATTTAATTCATTTTTTTAAATTGCTGTTTATTTTGAGCATCTGGGTACGGATGGGTGGAGGCTGAAAAAGGCATCCACCTATTCATTCACGTTTTTTTAAATGTTCCCCAAGCTTACTGTAATGTGGAGAGTGAGGGCTCTGTGCCACCCGTAGGCACGCTTGCCCTGGTTCCTGGCCATCGGTAGCCTGCTTCCAGGGGAGCAGGGCTCATTCCCCAAAAGTTCACACTGCATGACAGCAGGGGGCGCCAGAGAGATACTAGTCTGTTCCTTCAGCTTTTGCCCTCATAGTCTCATTAGACCTGATTGTTCCAAATGTCCACTGATGACATATTTTTGTTATTAGGAAGAAAAGAAAAATTCTGAAACATCTCAAAAACCCAGAGCACACTGAGATATTTAATGCAAGTTCCTGTTAGGTATTTAAATGAAAAACCTATAAAGATACCAGAACTGCTGGCAGTTGTGACTGTCGTATTCTGTACTGACCCATGGTACCACCTCGGGGCTATCTGTTTGGCTGGAACTCTTTAGAGAGCTGCTTTTCTGCTGCACCCTGATGCCTGTCGTTAATAAAGAAATCAGATTTCCTACTAGTCATCTAACAAAGGAGAGCATAGATGATCCCACAGCTTGACTTGAACAAGCCTCACAACCTCTTTGTGGACGAAATGAACTTTAGTTTTTCCTCCCAATTCTAAAGGATAATGCTGTAATTTTACATGGCAGCATTTATATTTACTGTACTTCAAGTAAACGTGGTATACACGCACTAAGTACAAGAAGCACAAAAATGAGGAAGATGTGATCCCTGACCTCAAGGAGGTTATAATCTATTTTTATTTGCGTACTATAGAACTAAAAATAGCTGAGTATAGACTCTGATAGTTACAGAATTAGAGTGCAGAGGCTAAAGAAAAATTGCACTGAGGAGGGATGGGGCAAATCAAGAAAGGTACCAATTATTTCATGATCTATTTGGTATATGACTTGTCTGTATTTCAGAAGTATTCATAGTGCCATAAAAACGTCACCAGTCAGCCCAACTTCACAGGGATGAGACCAGTCTATTGGCAATAAGTGTAATGCCGGTTAAGCACAACAGAGGTCCAGGACTTACTATCATTCCGTGAGTTCTGTTACCAACACAGAGAAAAAAACTTAGAAGTGTTAACAATAGAATTTTTTTTTTCTTGTACTATACACTGTAGGAGTTCAACAATATTTTTAAAGGTATAGTGAAAACTGAAGTTTAAAAAGAAAAATACTTGATGAGATTTGGTGAGTCTATATAAATCAAAAAATAAAACTACTCCATACCAAAACATACCAATTGGAAAGAAAATGAGAAACATTCTGAAATAAATATACATACTGCTTTGCATCTGATTTCTCCGGTTTTCAGGTGGTGCTATCACAGTATATGCGCCTCTGCTAGAATGAAAAGGGGAAAACACTGCATATTATTACGAGAAACTAATGCATAGAAGCCAGCAGACATTCTTTCTTCTAAAATACTGTATTTATGATCATCACCATCAAATAGGGACTGTGTACGATGATCTTAAGACCCAGGTTTGTTCTCTACGACCTCACAATCTGTTGTCAAAGTAAAACAAATGGACATGGCCGAATATGGAAATACAAAGCAGTTTATGAAGGCACAAGTGACTGCGTGGTAGACCATCCTGGTAGGGCTCCACTGTTCCTCTAGGAGGCGCTCGTGAGTAAATCCCTTTAAGATTGCTTTAAGATTGGCATTCTCTCTTCCCTGTGACCTACACTTGGGAGTAGAGGAAACGGTGGTGCATTCTTCGTTCCCACAGAGTACAGGCCATCTGCAATGCCGCTACCTCCCCATGGTGACCCATCTGAGTAGCCAACGGGCCACAGTCTCGTGCTTTTAGGCTTTGACTTTTCTAGGCCTGGGTCCACTGGGTTTCTTATTCTCCTAGGGACACAGGTTGAGTTTAATCAACTCAGAGAAGCAAGGAATCAACTTCAAACAGGGGGATCAGGAAAGATTTAAAGCAAAAATATTCAACACTGAGATACCAGAACTTAAAATATTTTGAGGGCAGAAACTGTGCTTAAATGATGTGTATTCCAAGTCCCTGGCACAAAGTAGCTGCTTGATAAATGTGGGCTGAATTGAAACAAAATGATGCCATAGTTTGTGACCGAGTTTGTGAGTTTGAAATGATGCATGTGGTCCCACAGAACATGAATACTTCCAAAAGCGAAAATAAAGCATGGTAACAGACTGCAGCACGCATGTGGATAGTTTCAGGGGAAACACCACGGATAAACACAACCTGCTTATAACTGTAGGGTTTGTTGTTTTTTTAAAAAAATAAAATAAAAACCCAGATACTCTTAGAAGTCTCTCTCTTCTACCTGGAATGTACAATTTCAAAGGACAAATTAGCAAAGACTGAACAGTAGAGGCCAAAAGCACTGATTAACAGAAGCCTTTCTTCCTTATCTCATTATTTTCCTAGCGGCAAGCCTTCAGCAGGCTTCAAACTGGGCTTTAATTTTAGACTTGTAAATGTGAGGTGTGCAACAACCTTTGCATGCAAATGGGCCTGCTGGATGCCCAATTACCTACTGTATATCAGCAGACTTGCATGCGTAGCCTAGCATACATACAACGCTATGAATACAGAATTAGGAGGCTGCCGCTGGAAATTAATCCCTTGTCCACTGCATATGCTTCGTTCACCCTAAGAAAAATTTTTCACTCCTCAAGTGCCAGTATTTTATAGGAGCTTGGGAGCTGCAAATCTGTGGGTAGTCCCTGGAAACTTCACTGTGATGCAATGGCAAACCATTCTATAGGGCCTCAAAGCTGAAACATGAGATACTAGATTTGACTGCCGATTATGAAATTGTTGCACAATCTTCGATGTCTGCTAACATTGTGCTATAGAGCTTCCGACTATACCAGAGATTTGACTACACTGGAGATCAGTAGTTCTCCAACTTCATTGTGCATCCAAATCTCCTGGAGGGCTTGTAGCCAAGCTTGTTAGGGTCCAATAACTTCCATTTTTTAACGAGTCCCCAGGTAATGCTGATGTTCTTGATCTAAGTACCACACTGGGAAAACCACTGCTGTAGGTCAATCAAGCTATCTTAGAACATCTGGGCTAAAAGCAAACTTAGGATTAATAAATCATTGTTAAAGACACAGAGGTGAAGTCCTGTGCCAAAGATCACTAGCTTAATTAAGCAACAGTGCCGAGACTCAAATCCAGTTTTGACTTAGACTAGTTAATTGCCTGCAACTAACTTTTCAACTCAATGTAGAAAGCATAAAATATGACTCTCCTTCAACTTCACCCCCTTGATAGACTTCCAAACAATGCAACCTACTTAACCGAACACCTATTATGGACTTATTATGTTAGAGGCTTGTGGAGAGTGAGGGCAGATACCAAAACAGATATCAACCGCTTTAACAGAACTTATACTTTAGTTAGGAACAAGTCCAGGAACCACCAGAGCATAGCCCAAGAGTATCCAAACAAGTGTTACAGTGGAATGATGTAAGTAGTCAGAGATCCAAGGCAGAGGAGATTCACAGAGACTGCAGGAGTAGAAACCTGAATAGCAAGAAATAAGAACAGCACATTGAGTCTTAAAGGATAGGATCCGAAATGGCAAAAGATTTTCTTTGCCAGGACTTTGCTAGGAGCAGCTTCATAAAGAATTTTCCATGTCCATGGGACTCTCATATGGAAACTTTGGAAAAGGTTTGGAAAGAAAAATGAATTGGTTTGTAAAAGACTGTATTCTACAATATCTAATCTGAGTAAGTTTTTAAGTCTGACAATGACGTTATTAGAATGTTCAGTCTTAGGAATAGGACTACAGTCAATTTATGGCCAATGTGTGTAGCCTACAGGTACCCAGTACAGGAACATGAAACCAGGGGGAAAATCTGCTGTGAAATTAGAGGTTTTTAACTGAAAGCATCTTAGCTTAAACCTCGGCAGTGTCCCCAGCTTTATGTGAGAGAATTCTTTGGCAACCTTCTTAGTAATATTTTGTTGGCTGAAAATGCCAGATCTAAAACATTTGGTGATATTCACAAGAAAGCATTTCCAAGTAATTCAGCTTCTATTTCTCTTACTTGCTATAGGAAGAAGAGCTTAAATCTAAGGATATGCTTTTTATTTTTAATATCATGTGGCAGAGTGTAAAGCCTCAGTAGAGACAAATATTCGTCCCTTCTCTCTTAGCTTTCTCTTGACATGAGTAGCAAGGATAATTTATTAATGTTTTCAGCCAATTAGTTTCTACCCACAGCAAAAGCCTTTGCTGTTTTAACCTGAGTGCCTCCCCTTTCAACAGTCTGACTCTTAAAGCTGCCGATCTAGACAAGCCCAACCAACCAATATTTAGTATTCTGGTCATTTCTTGATTAAGCAACATTCAAGCTTGTGAAATAAATACATATTTTTGAAAACGAGTCTCCTTAATTACTTCATTGAAATTTAATGAAATGTCTCAATTTGTAAAACTGTTTTCACTTTCTAACAGCACGCATCAGTAAGATATACTAAGGGAGAATACATGAAAGAATAGCACAAGACAAAGAGAAAAATTTTTTCTGCACCATAAAAAATATATAAAATATATTCAAGAAATGTTTTCCTTGTGAGGTCTCTCCTGAGTTACACAACTGCATCTTGTGTGTGCATTCTTGCACAATTTTTATAATGTTTCATCAATGAGCACTATGAAAAAATGATATGTTGAAGTTATGAAAAATGTCTTGGCTGGTGAAAAGTATCACATAAATATATCCCCTGGTGTGTACAAACTGCACCAGATGTAATTTAAATTTCTAATTGGGAACAACACTGGTTTGACTGTAAAGGAAATGTAGTCAGGAGCAAAAACTCAGAAAGCGATAGAAGTTACAAACAGATAATTCCGAACAGAATAGTAGACATGTAAAGTCTACAGTCCTACAAAAAAAATTGGTTTGATGTTTTCACAGCTCTAGAAAATGCCATCCTTAGACATGTATAAATTGAGAAAAAGGAGGATTCTTGGGTAACCAAAGACATTGGATATTTATTTTTCTAGATATGGCATTCCATATTGGTTTTCGTTACATGGGCTTCAATGTAGGAATCTGAAACTTATCATTTTTAGTCAACATAAGGCAAAATTTTTGAGGCATTTAGGTCTCCAAAAGTTCTTTTGTAAACAGATCAAATTACCAAGAAAAACAAAAAATGACAAGATGAAGCTGAATAAATCACCCTTGACCCTTAAGCCTATTATGCCACTCCTGATCAAGCACCTCACACCTTGGGTATGGAGGGGCTTATCAATTCTCTTTGGTCTCAGAACCTGCAGAGCCTAAGACATTGTCTGCAAACCCAAGAAGCAGATGTGAAGTTGGTTAGTTCCTTCATCAATATAATTCACAGCTTCTGTTAATGGGCTGAACAGACACCCAGGGGATAAAGATAAACAAACAAGCAAGAAATCATCAGGGCCTTTGTTTATAGGATGGCTTTATGAAAATTAGAAGAGGTACACATGCCTACACTCACTCACACACATTCCAGGATCCCCACGGCTTAGTGAGACACGCAAATTCATGCAAATTAGAAAAAGTGCCCCCTTTTTTCAGGAGGCGGTAACCCCACACTAGGGCGCATGGTTTGGTATGTATCTCAGCCCCGAAACACACCTTAGCTGGGCACGTGTGTGCAGTTACCAACCTACACAACCATACAGAGTGGACCTGAGATGTATTTTTTCCAGTTAAAAACACACACATAAATAATAAAAGTTACAAAATAAAGTTAGCAAGAAGCATTCACACTAAAGATAAAAAGAATGTATATGAAGTATTACACAACACTGTAGAGACTCACCATCTTTAAGAGGCCAAAAACCAACGGTGGGAATAGAAATGGGGACCAATTGATAGGCATGCTTGTAAAAATGTCTAAAACTGCTTCCTCAGTAAAAAATAAATACAAGGAACTCATATTTTCAGATCACAGAGACGTGAGTTCTAGGATTTGATTTGACTGTAATTACAAGCTAATGAGGTAACCTGATACTGTTTCATGGACTCTGGCAGAAGACATGAGACTCCGGGATCGGAGACAAAGGACTTTATTACTCATGGCACAGCATGCAGCATGAGCATCAATTTATTCACATCTATCTGGCCCCAGATCTTATAGGGGCAACACGATGGAAGCTGCATACACGGTGTGTTTGCACTGCAAATGAGAAAACTCAGCTTGGGGAATCCACCATTTTTATGGCAGGTGGTAAGCAAGCCCGGTCTTTTGTCCTGGGGAGAGTGTACCTCCTCCCTCAAGGTTCCCAGCTCGATAAACAATCCTGAGAAATATCCTAGGTTAAAGAGCATCAGTCTTGACACATCCAACGCA